CATAAATGCATAAATGCTGTGCCAAATGGTAGAGGGAAGCAAGCTGAGGGCACAAAGATTAGAGGTAGAAAGATAAGCAACTTTTTTTTTTTAACTTGTGGACAATTAATAGTGAGAGTTTTACTACCAATAATAACAGTTTCTATGAAGTGCAGGGGAAAGGTTGGCAATGGATTAAATTATCAGTGTAGACAACAAAAACTGAGGAAGAAAGAATCTAAAAATTACCCAACTAATTAGCCTTGAATGGAGAAGGTGACGTGGAAAAATGCAGCAAAAATGTGTAAACGTTGGCTGGAAGTTGGACCTCCAGAATTCAAAACACAAGCAGAGAGGATAAAAAATGGCTTGGACTTACAGTGGATAATAAAGACACACTTGATAACATGAGAGGGTCTTACAAAAATGGGTGTTAGAAGTGTACTTCAAAGATGTCTCAAGAGAACCAGCTGATTGTAGGCTGCTGTTTTCAGTAGAGATGAGCCGATCAGGCTGGGGAAGTTTCCCAGGAAGGCAAAGATAGGACATGATTGAAACTTATTTTAAATCCCAGAGACACCCTGCCTACTAAAACTATTGCAAAATGGCAGAAATAAGAACTGATTCCTTTTCACTCCCTGAATGTTTCTGACAACCTGCTAATACCAAAAGGAAGTATGCCAGCCGAAAGTGAGCCCGTGAGCCAGGGAATATAGTAAATGCTGGCACAGAATGAGGCAACACAGGTGGGAAGGAGGAATGAAATCCCAAAAAACATTTCTGGGGCTTCTTCTGGTAAGGCACTGCATACTTTAATGCGGTACAGCAGAATATTTGAAGGGAATTTCTGGTTTGTCTTTCAACCAGATGACTGCTGTTGTTGAACTGAAGAATGACATAAGATCATAGGAAAATTCAGGTTGGATGGGACCTCAGGAGGTCTCTAGTCCAACCTCCTGCTCGAAGTAGAGTGAGCTATGAGGTCAAGACCAGGTTACTCAGGGATTTATCCAGTCTGGTCTTCTAATGTTGAAGCGAGAAGAGATGTTTTAGGCCATTGAGGAAATATATCAGGAAGGCATAACACAACCTTCAACCCATTCTTTGGCCTCCTTTTCAAATCAGATTAGACAAGAAAATGAGGCATCAGGTTCTGTGGACTCACAAAAATGAAATGAGTTTACTTTTAAGGGCTTTTTCTTATTCATTACCAAGAACAAATGATGTCCTGGATGCTCTAGCAGAGTTATTCTCTTAATCTACTCTCAGTTTTCAAAAACTGAGAGGGTTTTTTTTCCCCCTCACGTTTAAAATGTCTTGCTCACATAAAATCTGAGATCAGTGTTAGAACTATGGTTATTATCAAGTTGGACAAACATTCAAGATCAGAGTCCCGCCGATCCACAGTGGTATGTGGACATTAAAAGATTCAAGTCCTGAGCAGGTATGTACTGGTTATGCCATGCCCATGCAAATGCCACAAAATAGCTGTGCTGATCCATTTCTCACAGACACTGAGTTAAAGTGTTTTCAAATAGCGTTCCTTCCCCACTACTCCACATGGCAAACGAAAAGATTTACAGATGATCTAAGCAAAGATTCAGGCCACCAAAGACACAACTGAAATTAAACCCAAAGACACAAAGCAGTTCAAAAGGGGTTATTACTGTGTTCAGAGAATCAATTAATGAAACTTCTGCCCACAAAAGATAACTGAAGCGAAGCAGAGACAGATCTCCCTCTCCCCATCTATTCTGTGATCTCCCACACTCATTGATCAGTACTTTTGTAGGGTTCTGCACTTCAAAGAAAAGTTTTGTCTCTTGCTCTCCCAGTACCTCTTCATAAGTTGTGAGAAAAAGGGAATCGTTTTAGGGATCAAATTGAGAGTTTTACAGATTGAAAAGGGCTCTTATGATTGCTCCTGCTCTAGCCTACCCATGTTTTACACTCCCTTTCACGCAGAACCAAAATAACCTGAAAAAGTGGTCATTTATTATAATAAAGGTCTTGAGTTCTCTGGTGTGAAATTATTGTGCCACCCAAAAGGAATTCCTGGCAGTCATAAAATACAGAGTATTTTCACCTGTATTTATTTGGGAGGAAATTTGTGGTCAGGACTGGCCTTGCTTCTCTATAATGGCTCTTCAGATTCAGGCATGCTGTAGGGTAGCTTGCCTCGGGTTTGGAAAAACTGCACTGCCCTGATTTTATAGTTATACATAGATCAGCACACAAGTGTGGTAAAACTGATGCCTTGTCCAGAGGACCTTGTTGGAAAATGAATTGCAAACACTACCCTATCTCAGGCAGCTTGTTCAAGGAAATGACTGCCATGCTAAAGAGATATATACTTCTGCAATTCCACAATTTGAAAAATATAACTGTTTCCTATATAACATATAACCTATATTGCCATGCAGGATGGAAGGCAGTGGGAATGGATTGCAAAGTGAAAGAAATTGTCCCAAAGACTCAGCACTCTTCTCAATATCTGGTATCTTATGAGTTAAAAACTGAGGAACTTTGAAGCCAAAGCACTTCAGTGAGGTCTGAGAAATCTAATAATCCACAAAATCTATACCTTAACACAGTAGCACAGGACAGATAGTGAAGACTAGATCTCACCTGGCTATCCAAGGAGAACAGACCCAAAAGATTGGAGAACATGTCCCAGTATTTGTAATTCATAGTACAGCAGACGCTGGCTGCATGTACATCAAAGAGCTCTGGTCTCCACCTAGCTATGCCATAAATCTATATATGCTAATTCACTCACAGGCTGCAATTAGAAGAAAACACAGTTTCTTTACTGGAGAATCTGGAGCACTGGAAAGATAAAGTTCATGGTATGCATCCTGCAAGTTGTGGGGACACAAACTGCACCAAGTCTTGAGATCTTGGTCATCAACAATCCTCCAAATTTATGCCAGTTTGCCTTTTGCCTTCACACCAGTGTATGCAGAATGGGCCCTCGGACACGTGTGATAAAGCATTGCCCTTATTGCTTGGTTCTCTTCCTTTTTTTAGCTTACTCTTTGGAAATTTAAAACCAGGAAGAAAAGTTGTAAAAGCGGAAGGGGTAAAACCCAGAGGAGCTCACAGTCCCTCTCTGGGACACAAGGAGAACAAAATATTAACTCTGCCCACTGTATGACAACCTATACAAAGTGCATGCGTCTGGGGAACTGTGACTGACAGTCTTCTGTGAAGGGCCATGTTTGAAAATTTGTTCTGTATGGTAACCTCTGCATTTCTGTAGCTTCATATTTGAACAGATGCCAATTTACAGGACAGGATCAACGTTCTTTATGTTCTTAAGTGTGTATTTGTTTTTTGTTAAGCTGAAGGGTATGCCCAGTATTGTTCAGGACTTGAAAAAATACCCTGTCTATCTAGTTTAAAAGTATGCATCCTAAGAAACATACACAAGGTGGAAATAATCTGGGAAACGTAAAAAAATGTTGACTTCTTTCATATAGTAGTAAGGTTAGAAATGTAGCCTTTGAGAAGCAAGGCTTAATTAGCACAGGCCTCCTGAAAACAGTAGGTCTTCAAGAAGAAGAGTGAATCAGATGAGAGAGCAGAACATTTCACACTTACTCAATGCCATTGCAAACACAGAAAGGTTGAAAATGGCAAAAAGCAGAAGAAACTTCGTGCAACCTCTTCTCTGTTGGAAAGGTGGAATCAGACCCTCTGCTCGCACGTCCTGGTGCGGTGTCACAGCCATGCAGGCTGGACTCTCCTCCAGCCAAAGAGCTCATCCCCAATTAATACATAGAAGGTTCTGACTTTGCTTACATGACCACTGCTAATTTTATAGCTATAATAATCAATTTTTAGAAATGACTGACTCACTTCAGCTGACAGGTTACGTATGATTAATATGCAACATAATAAAACAATGTTTAATAGTTTAATGTCTTTAAGCGCAATGCAAAATTGTTTAATGATACAAATTAAAACTGCTGCGAAATCTCTGTAACTATACACTTTTAAAATTTAAATTATATGACTTTGATCATTTGAGGTCTAATGCTGAAAGATACTGAACACCTCTTAAAAGTTTCGTGCTTGACTTCAACTTCTAAATAATTAGTATACTTTGAGGACAGTTTCATATTTCACAAGCACGGAGGCAGACCTTGGCAACCAGTAATGTTATGAAACAAACTCATTTAAAGAATAAACTCTACAGAAAACCAAAATATCAATAACAAATCCAAACATTAAAGTAGAAGCCTGAATCCTAAAAAGTATAAGGCTGAATCCTAAAATTTATCTAAACAATATTTAGTGTTACATCAATAATAAAAATAATAGATTAGGCAAAACTATAATACTTCCTCTAAAGTATGCTAAGGCTACAGTGTACAAACCGAGTTTGAAATTAATTGACAACAATGTGGTTATTTTTAATGCATTTAGGCATCCAGTTTTGTTTACCTGTTGTGCTCCAAAATTCTAAATATAAATTAAGGTGGAGACTCTTCATTTCCAAAGAACTGTTTTTCTAAGTCTGTGGAACATGACATTTAATACGTGATGCAAACCAAGCAGCTGCCTTCTACTCACAAATTATAAAATAAGCTGAACACAACAGTTAAGCACTTGCTGATACAGTTCAGATAGTGTCTTTCTAATGCCAGATTAGAAGTATTTTTACACAAAATATTTAACATTGAAGTCTAAACAACCATCTAACTCAAATATATTTGTCATGTTCCCAAAGGGTTAATATTGTCTTGCTTCATTTCTTACATGTAGTAATTTAGCTCTGAACAAAAGCAGCTCCCTGCTGGTTACCTTGGCTAAAGGAAACACAATGAACTGGTAAAAACCAGTTTTATCTCACTGCTGTTGCCTAGGGCTACAGACAAAATGAAGTAAAAAAATTCACATGCAGAGTATTAGGTGCTTATGAAAGATCCAGCAGCGCTGTTGCCTAGTGATTCAGCAAGGAATCAGCATAGGCCAATGAGGTGTATGGGTACTGAATAACATCCCCGATGACTGCTTTACATCTCCTGCAATTCTGTCATACACCCCCATGATTTCCCAGTGGTAAGAATCACTTTCAAGGGAACCTGTCAGGAAAAAAAAAAGAAAATTTAAACAAACACACACATCACATACAGCAAGATTACTATTTTTGCTTTTCCTTTTGGATGTTGACACTGCTCTAGATTACATGCCTATCCAATATGAAATGTTCTTCATATCTATTAATACTTAATTTTCACTACAATTTTGATTAAAATACCTTAACAATTAAGACTAACCTTCAGGTTTGAAATTGCAAATACATGTTACTGAATTGCAAGGAATATGCTAAAACAAAATTCATCTTATTACACTTTTCAAAAGAGCTACATAATCAGAGTGTTTATAATCAGCAAGTTTGTCAGTAATGCATAAAGATACCAGGGTTTTTTTTACCATCCACTTTTCCAGTTCTGGGGTATTTTTGTTGTTGCTTTGGTTTTATTTCAGTTTGTTTTGCAGTTACTGGTGCTCTGTTACACAGTAGATTTTCTGACATGAAAGCTGCCTCATTAGCAAGGACTATATTTTGGAAAAGAAGCTACTTCAAAGATAAAGCATCCTTTTCCTCAAAGAAGAAAAAGAAATCTCTCCCCATTATATGTGTGCTCTACTTTAGTGACATTTTTCCTCCATATTTAAAAATAATATTCATATTAACAGAGCACATAATACGTATTTAGTTGAAGCAAGTGTGCTGATGGAGAGCAGGAGAATTTCACAAAAATCTTTTCATCTTCAACATCTCTAATCCTAAAAGATATATTCTTACTGTATAGAAGCATAAACAACAAGAACAAAAATACAGATTTTTACTAAAGGATCACTCTCAGTTTATTCTCTGAGATCAAGCTGTCGGTACTTTATGTTTTCTATCTGGACCCTGCCATCGATCCATTTGTGATGCTTCAGAGGAAGATGAAGTATCTTCATGATGCATGTAGTCTCATGTGCAGTAGGAGTAAAAGTATGTCATGACTCCTACAGTAATTTGCTCAAGAAAAGGAGACCAAAACAGGGTAATAAAATATGTATCTCAAAATACTTCTACTGCCTATTAAAAAGTCCTAATCTTTGAAAACCCCAGACAACTGCCTATTGTCCAAGAATGTGTTTCTTTTCACCTATTAAAATGTAGTTGTCATTTAACAGAGAATTGCTGTTCTCATAGGAATGACATATTGAATCCATTTGCTAATGCACTGAGATGAATTTGTCAGTGTGTGACAGTAGACACCTTAGATGGAGGTGAAAGAAACTGTGTTCTAAGACAGTGTGTCCCATTTTGTCCATAGGACATTAAAACCTTCTGCCAGTTAGTGGTTAGTCTGAAATATATAACACTAAAATTATATTCTGCCCATGTAACTATGAACACTCTCATTAACCATGTAAACATTTGTCTTTCTTAGAAACCTACTAAATTGCTCATATTTTATTTCATGGCAATGACCTCCTCAGGCAAAGTAAGAACGATGTTCATCTTTACTACTCATCTGTACTACTGGAGGAAGAAATACAAGATAGAACTGATCTAGTAGTTTTTCAACCGGTTCCACTAGTGCAAGTCTGTATGTTGTAACAATTTCTGAAATAAATAGAATAAACTTTTTTCTGTCCCCAAATCTTATTTAGTAATACTGCTGAATGAGTGATCTGGCAACACCAAGTACTCCATTTCTCAGGAAACTGGAAACCCTCGGACTGTTGCTCACTTAATCCATTTAGGGATTCCCAGGAACTATAGTCCTTTATTAAGCAACAAAAGCTGAGCAGTAGGCTAGGGTGAAGGGTATCAGTCTTGCAGAGAGAAAAATATAATTCTTTTATAAAATAATTACAATTAGGTCCAATACATAGATAGATACAATAGCTGTATAGCTATCTACTCAGTTTTTACAGATGATGTTCTGCTAGATGATGTCCTATACTTTAAACAATGACCAATGATTTTGCCTGCTTTATATGTTAGGCCCCCCCACAGAAATGTTAAAAAGACCAATTTTCTAAGTGAAAATTACTGAAGAAAGATCTTTTGCAATAATTTTTCAGCAGTAATGAATGCCTGGCACACTCAGAAAGCCTATTAAAGGCACATATTTCTCACTCTACCACGCCCAACAGAAATTTCATGGCAATGAATGAAATAAATTTTGAAATTACCATACTGCATTGCTAAGACAAAGAATAGATGACAATCATACTGTCCAAAATGGAGGTTGAGTTTCTTTCAGTTATTTTCCTTTAGAATTTTTATAGTAATTTAAAAAAGCAATTACCTGCAAATATGAAACTGAAACTATTGAAGTGAAAGGCAAAATAGTTGTCTCTAGATTCTTAAGACGATGACGATAACATACAAAGCTAAGCATGCCTGGGACGGTAATGGAAATTCAGAATTGTCTCTACCTTTAGTGGCACTTCCAAGGCTGTAGTTTGCTGCAGGGACTCCATTGTTCTTTTTACCAGTGCTGTAAGGTAAATTTGAAAACCTGCAGCTTTGTTTTCCATGTTAGAATTGTTATACAGAAAAAAAAAAAATCACATGCTTTATATTGTTATATAATACCTGCATTTCTACATAAAACAAATTTAACCATTTACAATTCTTTCAGATTTTTTTTAAAGTTAAATTTTATCTCTTGTGGAAGGTTCAATTCCTTATTTTAAATTGAATTTTAGGACAAAATTTGGAGAATTATTTAACTTATGTAGCCCATAAATACAGAAGTACAGCACTAATATATTTTATATAGAGGTACAGCATGTCTGAGTGCTGTATTTCTCAGCTTTCAAGTTCAGTACTCTTAATTATATGTTTGGTAACATTTTATATATTTTAATTTTTTTGTGCAGCCATAAAACTCAATCAAAAAAAAAAAACTAGGAAAAAAAATACTAGAAGTCTGAATATCTTATTCTTCAGAGTAAAAATATCAGGGCCAAATTTTACAAAAAATCTTCCCTGTGGGATAGTGAAGCTATCAAGAATCTAAACAATTAAACTTCAGTATGATTTATGTAACTTAACAACTCATCATGTCATAACACTATGCTCACTATTACTGTGAAAATGCATCTATAATTATTCCAAATCAATCATTTGGGACCAGATTCGTCATCTTTGGTCATGCCAATTAGTGTTTTGCTTGACAAAGATTGCTGCTGCAACGCAATGTGGTTCTAATAAAAATCAAAGAGAGATTCAATGGATAAACAGCTTTTAAAAAAGAAGTAACTTTTGGCTAGTGAAAGTGCAATAGGAATACCAGGCAGCCCTAGAACAAAAGGTATTGAGCAACCTTCATTGCTCTGACAGGATGGCTGACTAAATAATATATGTCGTCACGTGCCTTCCTTACAGAATTGAGAAATATCAGGGTATGCAGTACGTGGTGATAACTGCTAGACCAAAAACCACATGATTACTTAGAAGCTTTCTTTGAAGTTATCCCTTGATGCACATCACGGTTCTTTTGCAGCTGATGTTAGATGCAAAGGCGCGACAAGAACTCTAAGAAGCTGTGTATGGTTGTTGCTCTGGCTGCTGCCGCTGAAACCTTTTCTAATGGTGCCAGCAATGAAGAGTAGTATGTAATGTTTTGTGTCACATCTGTGACACTGAGGCTGGCTTGACAATAATGATGAGGATAACTAGCTTCTGCCTGAACAGAAGTGGAGTGCTCAGACCGTGCAGGCTCGCTCAGACTTGCGTGCTAATGAACTGTCATAAGATTTTCCATGAAGGCCGAATTATGCAGTAACTCAAAAGATCAGTGGCTGAAGTGCCAAAGCTGAGGAAACTGAGACATTTGTTAACACATCCATGTACAGCTACACCTATATATTTGCTTCATGTTAGATTTGAGGTAGTTTATGGTCCAGTATAGGATGTAGAATCGTTTTTGGAGAGCAGAAACAAACATGACAACCACAGATTGTGAAAGGGGAAGTGCTGGCCTAAATAATTAGCCATTAAAAATCTAGTCCAAGTCAACATGACTATTAATAGAGAAACATTGGACTGCCTCCATCTTAAGAAGTCCACTCTGAATTTGAACAAGCTGCCAGCTCGGGGAGGTCAGCAATGCAGCAGATGTCGGGGCTCTCCGACCAGGTGGCATGCCTCCAGAAGGCTAAGTGGATTGCCAGTCAGTCCCTGGGTAAACACTTTTTCCATCGGTAAGCTCCCTACCAGGTTACGACTGCACACAGCTTTTGTGAGAGCATAACATCTGGATTCTGCACTTCTCACGCAGAATCACTCAGCATGTTCCACCAAAGCACTTAAGAACAATCCAAGGGCACACTCAACTCTGTGCAACTTAACATTTTTTGAGCTGTTAGACAAATAAGGAGCAATAGAGCATTGGGGCAACGGGAGGAATAGGTCTTCTTGACAAAAAGAGCTCCAGTGAACAACAAAAGAGGGAGCATGAGTCAGCAGCATCGATTCATGAGTTGAAAGATGCGAATGGTATGATAAAGGGTGCTGTCTGCGTATGCACTGAGTTAGACCAGTTTTCCCCTAGTTCTCCAGGCCTCTGAATTTGACTAGTTCTCTCCCATATAACCACTATCCTCAAAAGGGGATTCATGATGGCAGCGATGACTCCAACACCTTTCTCTGTTGGTTCATACAGTTTTTGCTTTAAGGCATCTGGCATGATCAGAATTCTGCTGCATCCTTAACTGCTCTTAATTTTAGAAAGCACAGATTAAAGTGGCCACAGCAGTGAACAAACCTAATGGTTCCTCATTCACTTTGACAACCCATTAAAAACCTCTCCATGGGTTTGCTCCATTTTCTTCAATGTTGTTTTTCTGTCAGTTCGGCTCCCTGTTCTCTTTCTCATGTCACACTGACTTCTCCATCTCCTCCCAGAGTTTAGTGGGTGGCATAGTAAAACCATTCATTTCAAGCAATCTGAAGTTGGTTTGCCTGCATTTCAGCCATTTGAAATTATACCTTTGAAAGTATCCAAAAGATTTGCCTACATCTACTTTACAACAGATTTTGTATGAAAAAATAAATATATAATGGTAACAGAAATATCAAGAAAAAGTAGCTGGATTACCATTCCTGTTCAGTAGTCTGCTAAGACAGTAAACAGTGAAGAAGGAAGCATTTAAACTAAATGACAATCTTTGCACAAAAATAAATAGGTAAACTGGCTGGAATACATTTAGGCTGGAAATCTAAAGTTCTAGATTTTGGAGAGATGAAACTCTGGAACAGTCTCCCAGTGGGAGTAATTTTTCATATGGAGATGATCATTTATAAAAGAGACCGTATGGCATGGTGGTATGTAATCACAGGAGAGGTCCCCTTTAGTCTTATGTCTCTAATACCTGATTCTCCCGCTACTCTCTCAAATCTCCTTGAAAACTCTCCTCTTTCTCAAGGCTCAAAATAAACAATCCAGGCATACAAAACTGTATTTTCTTTAACTCATATAGAGTGTGGTCACTAACAAAAGTGACCACAATGTTTAAATAGATCTGTCTCTACAACTCTTAATCTTCTCTTTCTTTTCCAAGATTTAGATTGGAGGCTTTTGGGGTAATGATTATTTCTGTTCAGAATCTAGTATATCTAGGGCACATAAATTATTAATTTTAAAACGTTCCTTTGCAGCCAGCCATATTCTTCAATGGCATCTGTAAAATGCTGTTCTCCCAACCTTTGCAACTTATCTCTCAAAACCCATAGTTAGCAATTACGGGATTTGTTGATTATGCTCATCCTGGAATGTTTTGCAAGTGCTAAGTATGTCATGTTAAAATATTATGTATTAAAAAAAATTGGTGACAGCAAAGTGAAGAGATCATAGAGGAACTGAAATTTTAACGTATATTCTAACATATATTAGATTTTCTTGATACTGGCCAGAATAAATATGCTTATTGTGAATAGGAGCAAAGACAAGACACGCATGCCTGCTGTGGAACAAAAGCTTATTTGTCCCTATCGAACTGAAGACATTTTTCAAGCTCATTCACCTATGAAATTATGACTCCAGAAACATGTCAAAGCTGGCCAGACATATGATCTATGGAATAGGGATTTTTGCAAATTGAAAGCTTTCTGGAGGCATCTTTAGTTTATGCATCAGTGTTTTCCAAGTTAGAAAAAGGCAGCTCAGACCAGAAAATGTCACTACCTTGTGATGACCAGTTCATTCTTTTGTTCTTCTGTTACTTGAGTCCCCTTTTGAACATGTGCACTTTTTTATGCAGCTGCCTGAGTAGCCATTAAGTGGGAAATTGTAGCAGAATAAAATGAAATTTCATGGAATTTGTACATGAGCCAAAAAATTGTATTGACAGATTTAAAAAAATCTAAGATATTGTTCTTTAGGTAGTAATAATCTTAATTGATCTTAGTATCAAAATAAATAGGCTTAGTTTATTCTGATTTTTTTTCTTAGACTGGTCCTTTTGGTGTTCTTACATTTAAAGTAAGTATTTCAGCTGAAATATTTTATACCTGGTAAAATATCAGAAAAATTGTTTAAAACTGTATGTTTTACGTGTACCAAATATAAGAACAGATGCAGAAATTAACGGATGCGGTCCAACACAAAGTACTGGAATACACATATTTCTACAAAAATCTGTTATTTCAAGTAGCAAGTGTCTTTCATTTAATTATGCTTCTCACTAATGGATGCAATTAAGCAAGCATAGTGACAAGGAACAATCCACAGTAATCACTAGTGGCAAAGTTCACCTTTCAAATCCACCAGGTATATATGGAATACACATCAGAAGCCAGATCTTAAAGTTGTAACTACGGGTATCCCTGTACTGTGAAAAAAAATTATTCTGCATTTCTTCACCTCAAAGGGTATTCCCCCTTTTAGCAGTAATGTATTCAGAATAATCAAAGGGCAAAGAGGCATTTCAAACAGAGTATGGAGAGGTAGTCTCAGAAACAGTCTCCACAAAATGAAAAATTGGGTTCTGCAATTCCTGAATGCTCTTCCAGAGTCCCTAGACAGACTCACAGTTTGACTTGGGGACAGTCTGTCTACCTGATCACACAGACTTCAGAACTCAGAGATGCTGAGCCCTCTCAGATCCAAGAACCCAGTTTTTGGCATTCCCAAAATATCATCTTCCTTTCTGCTTCCTGGGCTGCTGGAGAGCTCAGGATTTGAGGAAGCCAGACTGGCAAGCTGGCTAAAAACCAGGCAGATTATTGACAGTAAAGCTGACAGTCTTCTGCCAAAACCAAACCAATTTCTGCCAAATGTTTTGATTTGATCATTCCAGGCACCCTCCAATAGAAAATGAGGATTTTTTAAAAGATCCTTTGCCGTCTTTTTTTTTGCCCTAAACAGAGAATTGAGGCAAATAATACAACGAATCTTTGTTGACAATTACACAATTCAGAGTAGTACGTGCTTTATTGTATTTCAAAGTATGTCAAAGCTTGGACACTCAAAGCCTTGTTATAAATAAATCACGTTTTGCCTTGTTCATTCAGAGTGAACCATATGCATACTATAAAACTGTGGGTGATGGATTCTGTTTGAAGAAGGTATTCTTCCACAATACAGACAACACCTAACTTGTTACATGCGGTATTTTGTGCAGAAGTATATATTAGAAAAAAAGAACACCTTATTGTTTGCCTCTTATCACATTCAAAAGATTCAAAATAATCTGTTGGGCACAGATTATTAGGTGCACTATAAATTGGATTTCTGTATACTGAAAAGTACTGAAAATTCTTAGTGTGGTCTATGAAGTCCTAAGCAGGAATAGAGAAAGCACCAGCATTATGATTGCCTTGTGGCAATTCTCAGCCTTCACTCAGAAGTCTTAGAAGCAAATAGACATTTTAATGTTGTAAAACAATACAAAAGAAATGCTTCCATAAAGGAAAGGCTGCTGAGAAGGCTTATGTTCTGCACTATGATCTAATTTAAATAATACTATTTACCTTTATGTTCTCTAATTTATAAATCTTAAAAGTATTTTAAGATTTCATATCCATTCTGCAAATAAGAAAACGGAGACACATATATTTGCTGTTGCTTTCCTGACAAAAGTAGATCAGAAGCATGACTGGAATCAGAATGCAAACATGCTGAATAGTAGGCCAGTGCTTCTTGGATCACACTAAATGCAGGAGACTAACACAGCGCTGAACTGTAGCCTATTAAAGCCATCAAGCACTGCTTTTTAGCTTTAAGTCCACATCTTTCCCTTTACTGAGCTTTGTGACTGTACAACTGAGATTTCTCTCTGGATCACTAAGCTGCAGGCTGGAATCTGCAAGTCAGCAGATTCTGTAATTTAAAGTTTCTGAATGAACAAAAGCTCATTAGATATGTAAAGACAAAGCTGACAGCTAAAGAATATCAGCAAATAAAAGTAAGAAGAGTAAGGACTTTAAAAAAGAGAGAAAGAACTTTGGGTAAAGGTATGAAAACCATATTTGGACTTCCAAAGCACTACAGTGAATTAGGAGTACACATCCTACTGACACTCCTCCTTTGGTTTAAAACTCACATACCTAATTTGTTACCTCAGTTAGCAGCTCCTGAAATACTTGGAAGAGATTAGGAGAAAAGAGTCTTCCTATCTAGTTTCATCTGAAAGGAATCTAGGTCAACTGCTCTCAGACTGCTCCGTGATGTGAACCAAAACTGTTCACACCATAGACTGGGGACAATAGGGAGATCTGCTTCATCGTCATACTCCTGACTGGAAGTTACATGCTGATGCAGATGCACCCTTTCTCTGCCTAGTCAGATCAAGGAAAATCCTCGTTAATGACACTGAAGGAAGAGCCAGCTTCAGCCACTTTTAAGCCAGCTTGGATTAGTTCGTTTACCAGTAGCGGAACTATTCGCAAAACACAGAATCACAGAATGGTTGAGGTTGGAAGGGACCTCTGGAGGTCATCTGGTCCAACCCCGCTGCTCAAACAGGGCTGTCTAGAACCAGTTGCCCAGGATTGTGTCCAGACAGCTTTTGAGTATCTCCAAGGACGGAGACTCCACAGCCTCTCTGGGCAACCTGTGCCAGTGCTCGATCACATTCACAGTAAAAAAGTGTTTCCTGATGTTCAGAGGGAACCTCCTGTGTTTCAGTTTGTGCCCACTGCCTCTGGTCCTGTCACTGGGCACCACTGGAAAGAGCCTGGCTCCGTCCTTTATGCTCCCTCCCTTCAGGTATGTATATACATTAATAGGATCCTCCCGAGCCTTCTCTTCTCCAGGCTGAACAGTCCCAGCTCTCTCAGCCTTTCCTCATAGGAGAAATGCTCCAGCCCCTTCATCATCTTTGTGGCCCTTCGTTGGACTCTCTCCAGTATGTCCACATCTCTCTCGTACTGGGGAGCCCAGAACTGGATGCAGTACTTCAGGTGTGGTCTCACCAGTGATGAATAAAGGGGAAGGAAATGAATGAATGAAGAAATGAAGAAGGAAACGAATGTCTTAGGTTGGTCTTTAGTGTCAAGGAAAAGACATTTTTTCACTCTTTTGTTCTGAGGCAAGTGAGTATACCTGAAAGTGACTGTATTGCAGAATTTTCTTTTTTTCTTTGCCTCTTAGGGAAAAGTAGAGACAAATCTAAAAATCAGTCTTCAATCAGAAGAATGAAACAAACTTCCATCTTGAGCACTCCAGCTTGGCAGCTTATGTTAAGTGCAGTGACAATTTCCAAGGCATCTCAGACTTCTAGACTGCACAGGTCCATTTCCTAAAGGTCATTTTAGCAATTTCAATTACATGGTGATAGCTTTGAAGCAGAACAAGGAATTTACAGATATGTTTGTTCTGCACACTGCAGCTAGACGTGGAGATATGCGAACTAGTTACACTGTGGTGTGTAGAGCAGACACATCTTGAGCATTTGAACTGGACTCTTTTTGTGTTTTCAGAAAAAAGCCTTTAGTCATCATGCTTATATAGCAGGATACTTTACTATTATTCATACAATGGCTAGAGTTTTTTTCCATTATGCTGGAAAGGTATTGATTTTGCTGAATTTACTACAAATCAATACTAGTAACAGAGATCAGAATTTGATCCGATGAGGGCAGAATCTGTGATTTTCCGTATGTATAAGCAACCATGAATAATTTTTATCTTTTGGGTAAAATATTAGTTTTATACTTAATGCAAATTGATGTAAAATAAGATAACAAAAATCCTTCTATGCTGCCTTACAGATCTAATTCAATGTACTACACTTTCTAACTCTGAAACTACGGCACTTTTAGACACTGGTCTTTTCTGAGTTGATACTGCCATCTCTGATAAATTGTATGGTGTTTTTTTAATTTAAACCAGATTTAAACTCCTGTATTTAGAGGTCAAATGTTAATATATTAACCTAATTCATTACAATGCCCCTAATATATTGAACTTAAATATTTCCCTGGTTCTTTGTTTTGATTAGATGGAGGTTTAATGTTCTCATTATGAACTAATACTCACAAGAGGGATCAGTGATGAAATGAGACTAATAAAGCAAATTGTACTGTTTAAATGAATGCAACAGAGGAAGGTGAAATTAATTTTTTCTTAGATGCTTAGGTTATAATGGAAGATATTCTTGTATTCGTTCATTTAAAATATTTGTGACATTATGCTAATTGTTTTAGCCAAAGGTATTGTTGAGCTTTAAACTAGACCAAAGTTTGTGAATAAACGTTTGGTGCCTACAGGAATAAATCCACTACTTACTGGAGAAGAGACCCGACAGCCTCCTATGTGCCCTCGTTTGCTAGCTAAATTTGTACCAGATGCTGAGACAAACTCTGGCTTAGGAAATAATGTCTGGAAGTAAGCCAGATGAGAGGATAAAAATGTAGGCAGGAACTTTTACTAACCCTTAACCTTGTAAGTTCCATCATAAAGTTCTCTTAATATAAAAAAAGCAGTAAATTATCTTAGAAATTACAGTACATTATCTTCTTACATTAAAAATTTCATGCTTCTTTATGTAACAGGCCCCAATCATAAGTATTTAGGAAGTTACTTTCCAAGCCATTCTTTTTAAGCTGGTTTATTTCCTTCTAAAACCCTTTGAAACCTTGGAGAAAGTATTATTATTTAGCTTTACAGGATTCACATATTGGACGAGGGAATCTTGATAGGAAAACTAAATACAAATAAGCGTGTTGATGAACTCCAGATGAGGAGTATATCACATTTTATCTACATAAGAGCCAGTGGTGGAAAACATTCAGAAAAATCTGCTTAGTATACATTTCCTTAATCATGAGAATCAATGTGCTGCTTCTTGTTACATTAATTCTTTATCCTCTGAGAAATCACAGGTTATAGGGAGAAAAAGGGGGTGGGGGAGAAAGAGCAAGAGAGATTCTATTTACCTGCAAATTCCTGGATTTGAGAATCTTCTACTTCAAACAACAACTCGTCATGAATCTGGGCAATTAACCTGAAAAATTTCAGAGGCTTTCAATAACATATGCAAGAAATTTCTAACAGTGCTTTCCATTCATATCATCAACTAATTGTCACACACACAATGGATATGTTAAAGTGAAAATAAACATCCTAAGAAAATGAAAAAATCATTAATGGAGTTAAAAGGATTGCCACTCCACATATTCTGAAAACATAAAAGCCGTGGTCGTAAATCCAAACTGTGCTCACTAGCTTATAAATGTCATTCAGGGATTTGATGATGTGACAAGTTATTACTTAAAACCAATGTAATTTGCCGAAAATTGCAAGAAATTATACAGACAGGCTATGTTTTGTTAATATAGCTTGTTTTTTCAAGTTGAGCTGGAATAAATGTGGTTGCAAATGGGCAGTTTTACTAATGCAAATTAGGTCAATACTAAGAGTACTTGGCTCACTGGTACAGCAATATTAACTCCTAGTTGGCCAGTGACTATTTCCAGGAAATAACCTTTTCACTTAAGTGCAAAGTAGGTGTCCTCACGCCGACAAACAAGTGAAGAATGAAAATGTAGGCGTAGATACACAACCTGATCTGTTGCCTCTGCTATGAGGACAGTTGCCTTCATAAGGACAGAATGTACAGCTGAAAGCAGTAACACCTTGAAAGCCATGCAACTACACGTACCTGAGCTCTTCAGTTAGAGCTGTTTTGTAATGAATTTATACTGCTGCTTTGTTTTTCTCTTTGTCTGTATTAGTTCTATATTGATAGGTCTCTTGCATATGGACTGTGACTTAATTGTTCAGTGCTTACAGGAATAGCACCCTAAATTGTTGGTTTGGGTGCAAAAGTACTTTCACAATGGAAATAATAAATGTATTTGATTGAATCAAGTCCACGGCAGAATAGATATAATCCAGCACATATAATCCCTGAGTGTAGTTCTCACTCAAGAAGGAAAAATACTGCATATCTGATTAGACTGTATTCCTACTAGGTTTATTTTATTACTTCTTTAATTATTGTAGCTGGGAATCTAAGTCATGAAACCGTACCACCTATTTCCAAATTGCTTTGCAATTTATATATAACACTTAAATTAAATGCCCATTGTAGACCTTTTCTTAATACCTAGCAGTTATGCAAGTAAATAATTCTTTACAAATGTCTGAAACATCAGTATGGTTACTACTTATAACTTTTCACAGCTTTCAGGAAAATATCCTAAGATATTTTCACACTGCCTTAAATTACAATGTGACATTGACTAACAGTGTGGTGAGCTCTAATAATAGATCTTAAATTATTAGTCACTTGCAACACAGTCAGAAGCAGAGTGAAACAGATTAACATATTTCTAATAGGAAATTGGGACACAGGATACAAAAAGAAATAGATGAAAAGATCAGGATCGTCTGTAGCAAGAGAACACGGTTACATGAAAAGTTATAATTTCCAATGCAAGTAAATTAATTAAAGCAAGAGATTCCTCATAATTGTTGAACTGACATGCAAAAAGGTATAAATCAGAAAGAATTGTGAACATTAAACATGAATATACTGTGAAACAATGGGAAAAGTGAAAATAATTGCATTGATTAAACCAGAGCAATAAAAATGTGATAGACTGGTTATTATTTGTACCAGAGTAGTGTCTCACGTCTTCAGTCAGGATTAGAGCACCATATATTCTGAATATTTGGCACAGAGAAGTCCTTTCTTAGAAGAACTTACAATATACATTAAAAATTTTATCATAAATTTATCAGGATTTAGGAACGGAGAAAGAAGAACTGGATTTCCAAAACCACTCGGCACTGGATCAACTGATCACTTCACCTCCATGCTAAAAGTAAAACCGAATTCAGGAGGAGCAGGGTTGGACCAGAGATCAGTGCTACCTTATGTGAGTCAGAAAACCTGTGGAAGCAATGTGAACTGAACTCAAAATTTCTGTCTGGACAGCACAATAGACTTGACACAACTCTACATGCTCCAGTTCATCTACTGAAACCAGCACAGCTATTTTAGCGTGGTTCTCCAGCTGGGCTAAAGGACCCTGTTTCTCAGTGCTTATCATCCCGAATAGCACACCCTATCAGCTTGGTTATATTGTCAGTTAACTGAGAAACTGCACAGAGTTGCAGAATTACATCTACCCCGTCTTAAACATCTAGTGATTAATTTGAAGTTCGGGATAATATTCTGTCTGCCTAAATATGGAACTAGAAGTTAGCATTGCTGGTTCTTTTCCTAGCTCTGCTACTCTCCTGCTAAGCAATGCACATTCAACTAGGAAATGGGAATAATATTTATCTCAGAGATGTGAGATCTAAGAAAAAAGTATTTCTAATACACTTCTATTTTCGAATGAAAGACATTACATAAGTTTTAATTAACGCTAAACATGATTTCCTAGCTTGATGCCAAGAAGTGGAATAGTATACACTATTTCCTCCTTAATTTCCATCAAACAAGCTAGATTTTTTTTATGATATCTTATCTCTTTTTCTTATCCATCTCACATCAACTTTATGGGTTCTACTCTTGCAGGTTTATAGGACAAGGCCACCTGTATTTTTTCAGGGTTGTGAAAGTAATAACATTCACATGCAATTTGCTGTTCCAAAGAAGGAAGCATTCAATTTGACATCAATGCAGTTGAAAGAAAAATCAAAGTAATTCATAGCTTTCACCATTCCAGTGTGTGCACACATCCACCCAGTGCACACCTTCAGTGAAACAAGTTTGGAAAAAAGCCTATACTTTTGCTTAATGGCTTAACTGAATTATCTTCACTTTGAAGGAATATTGAAATAGCAAGCTCCTCTTATTATCTCTTGCTAAATGCATGGTAAACTGGATTAGAGACTGCAAAGCAGGCAGAGACTAGTATTTTTGTTGTTCCACAGATGATAAGAATGCCTTTGATTTACAAGCTAATATTTTATTAACTATTTTTTTGATTGCCTGCAGATTAGGCATCATTTTTTATGAGTACACACATGATTTCTTTTACTGAGAAACATGACCTGTGTCTGAGTATGACTGTGGTGTGGAATGGAGATACTGCTACAAGCTGCACCTTCAAATGCGTAAGTATTTCTGTGATTGCCAGTCTGAACATGGCTTTTGGCATCAGTTTAGTGTGCCAGCACACAATATCCTTCTTAAACTATTATGCTGCACTATAGAATTTTAAAAAGAAAATATTTTTTATTCTCTTCAACACTACATTCATCAGTCTTCCGGTTTCCTATGAAACAACACAGAGATTAAACTTCTCAGGCCTTCAGTGGATCCACCCAGTTATCATTACTATATCATAATCATATTATTGACTTAATATATGCCAAAACAAATTAAACTATCACCAAGAGATGTTTTTTTCATAGTATTCTATTTATGAGGCCATATTGCCTCTTTATATTTTATTTTTTCTTAGTACCAGGCCAGTTTGTCTAATGTAAGACCAAACGAGGATTTTGTTTGTTACTGTAAAGCAATATATTCCAGATCTGGACCTCTCTATTCTGAAGTACAGAATTGCAAGTTTTTCCATGAGTACTTCAAACGCATTGCCTAGAAATAAGTACACTGTTGAACTGACTTCAACAAAACAGCCGTTACCTTATTGGCGAGAAATTGTATTTCTTTACTATTAAAGGAAACAATATTTTGCCTAAACTGCAAACGAGAGTGCTGTGGCATGACATGCTGCAGACTCTTTTGTAGGAATATCCCATAGAAAAGGCAGTGTAGGATAGGGGAAAAAAAAGACAAGATGGTCATGGTAGTCTTTCTCAGAAGCTGTTTTTTAACAGCTCTGTGCAGTGTTTCAGGCCGTTACAATGTGGCAAGAGATGCTCAAACTAATTAAATTCATGCTCCTTCTATAGTCAGGGGCCAAGGTAGGCTCTTCCTTACGTGTTCTGAATTGACATCTGGAAAACCCCAACTCTATGCATTGACTTTGCAGGGGTACCACCTCCTGATACAGCTACCTACACTGGACACCTGAAGTTAGACAGAGAGAACAGCCCTCTGTACTTTTTTGTGATGCATTTTTGTATCACCAGGGAAATTTTTAGTGCTGTAAACTCATCCAAAGCGTAATATGGTCTAGTTTTCCAGACTGGTCTGCATGAAGATAATACAAAATATAAACCACCAATTAATTCCCACAGACTAACTGCAGGTTAATTTACTCCATCGTTTGGTAGCGGGCAATCTGGACCCACCACATGCCAGCTCCAGACCACTCAAAACTCACCTCAAATTCAACTGCTGTCTCTATTCACTTCCCTCACCACAGCCCCTGACACTCCCATGGGAGGTTTCACTGAGCACAGGCAGCACAAAGGATGGGAATGAGACAGGCTAAGCCACGGGTGTAAGGTGCTAAGTATATTGCTTAAAGCGTATCTGAGAGGAGCTCACATATTACATTGAGCTGGCTGGTTTAAGAGTTTGAACAGAAAATAAATTAAAACAAAGTGTAACATTAGGTAAGTGGCAAAACTTTAAATAAGAGAGGGTCCAATTGTCATGCATAATATGGTTGGACTCGATGATCTTAAAGGTTTTTTCCAACCTAAATAATTCTATGATTCTATAAGGAATTAAGGGCATCTTATTCTGACTAAGAACCAGGCTGAGAGCCCAGACTAAAATAGTTTAAGTTGCTTCTTGTCGGTTACCTCTGCATCTTCAGGAAAAAAATGGTGTGGCACCATCAGGTTGTCTGATTCTGAGCTAGAGTACTCAAGTGTAAAATTTCCATGAAAAATTACACATTTTATTTCCGATTTGAAGACATGCTGAGAATTAAATCATAACTGAACACGAGATTTCCTAAAGCCAAACGATTGTCTTTGGAGAAGGAGCAAAAAAGATGAGTTATTTGAAATCCATTATAGCACTATGTCCCTGATCATTGAAATTAATACCATTTTCTGATACAACAGTATTAGATTTTATATCCCAAATATTAATACCTTTGTCTGTCATTCTATGTTATCCCCTTT